ATGATAATGTAAAGTAATGTTTGAACCTAGGATGAATCTTTTGTGTACTAATGTTTGACTTGTGTTTTCGGATGATAATCAAAATTTTTGTGTACTAAGGTCTTCTGGACGACTGAAAGTAAGGTCGTCTGGACATAAATAACATCCATCTTCACCTAAAGACATAAATAAAAACATAAATAAAGACATAAATAAGGACATGAGTAACATCCAACTAAGTCGTCTGAAAGTCGTCTGTGAAGTCTTTCTTCTGGACGACTTTCAGACGAGTTAACTTTAATTCGTCTGTGAAGTCTTCTTTCTGGACGACTGAATCGAAGGTCGTCTCGACGACTTATTTGAAGGTCGTCCAGAAAAAAGACTTCACAGACGACTTAAAGTTAAGTCGTTTGAAAGTCGTCCAGAAAAAAGACTAAACAGACGACTTAAAGTAAGGAGCAAAAAAAGGTCGTCTAAAGACATAAATAAAGACATAAATAACATCCAGAGAGTACTAAAGACATAAATAAAGACATAAATAAGGACATAAATGAGGACATAAATAACATCCATCTTCGTCTAAAGACATAAATAAAAACATTAATAAAGACAGAAATAAGGACATAAATAACATCCAACTAAGTCGTCTGAAAGTCGTCTGTGAAGTTTTTTTTCTGGACGACTTTCAGACGACTTAACTTTAAGTCGTCTTTGAAGTTTTTTTCTGGACGACTGAATCGAAGGTCGTCTGGATGACTTACTCTAAGGCTATTCAACCGGGTTCTTACATTGTGGACGCTTATGGCCCGTTTCTTTGCATCCTGAGCACCTATAAACCCTATGTTGCTTCCGGGGTTTGTGTCCTCTCATCCTGGATAGCTCCAACCATGATTGCCATCTTGATTTCTTCTGTCTCCCTGGACCACGCTTTATTTCCGGAGGAAAGCATGTGTGTGCCTCAATTTGTTGTCCAACACAAGGATATATATTCTTTGAATATCCTGCAAACAAAGTATGCTTTGAATATACCGGAGATACAAGTGTGGAGATATGCGAACCAGATGCTGTTCCAGCTGCTATAGCATGACAACAAGGGATTTTCTTAACTTGATAGACACCACAATCACACTTGGAAAGCTCTAGATCAACATTGCAGTCTCTATGGCCACCTTTCACAAAGAACTTCCATCCATCAATTTGTTGGACTCTTAGAGTATCTGCGATCTCCTCGCGAACAGCAAGCAAGTGTTCAACACCTCGACTATGTTGAGTTGTAAGACTCAACGCATCTCCTCTCCTTTTC